AAAGAAATATTTTCTAACATCCCTGTGACTCACCTGAGTTTTCAACTTCCAATTATGACCCCTTGTTGCGTGTCCCATTTCTGGAACATCCTGTCTCTGTCCACTTTGTCGATTCATCTCAGTATTTTATATGTCGTTATCACGTCCTCCTTGCCCCTACTGTCCTGCAGTGTCGTCAGGTCGAATTCTATTAACCTCTTCTCATAGGACATACCCCTTAGCTCCGGGACTAGCCTTGTTGCAAACTTTCTCTAGTTTCCTGACGTGCTTGACCAGGTGTACGTTCCAAACTGACGCTACATACTCCAATATGGGCCTGACGTACACGGTGTATAGGGTCCTGAACGACTCCTTACTGAGATGCCAAATGCTAATCTTAGGTTTGCTAGTCGCCCATATGCTGCAGCAGTTATTTGGTTGATGTGCGTCTCATGAGATGTGTCGGTATTATACACAAGATCATTTTTCTCGAGTGAGGTTTGTAATCTTTGGCCTCCTAGACTGTACTCTGTCTGCGGTCTTCTTTGCCCTTCCCCCGATCTACATGACTGTGGTCTTGGTGGGGCTGAACTCCAGGAGCCAATTGCTGGATCAGGCCTGCAGCCTTTCCAGATCCCTTTGTAGTCCTGCTTGATCCTCCTCCGACTGAATTGTCCTCATTACCTTCACGTCATCTGCAAACAAAGACACTTCTGAGTCTGTTCCTACCGTCATGTCATTCATATATATATACCAGAAACAGCACTGGTCCTAGGACTGACCCATGTGGGACCCCACTCGTCACAGGCGCCCACTCTGACAGCTAATCACGTACCATGACTCGCTGATGCCTTCCAGTCATGTATTCTCTGATCCACTGCGGTTCCTTCCCTGTTATACCTGCCTGTTTCTCCAGCTTTTGCACTAATCTCTTGTGTGGAACTGTGTCAAAACATTTCTTACAGTCTAAGAAAACGCAATGTACCCACCCTCTCTCTCTTGTCTTACTACTGTCACCTTCTCATAGAGCTCTAGTAGGTTTGTGACAGGATTTCCCGTCTCTGAATCCGTGCTGGTTGTCTTTCAGAAGCTTATTCCTTTCTAGGTGCGCCACCACTTTTCTGATAATCTTCTCCATGATTCTGCATACAATATATATATCAGTGACACTGGTCTGTAGTTTAATGCTGTGTGCTTGTCTCCTTTTTTTTTTTTAAATTGGGATTACATTTGCTGTCTTCCATACCTCAGGTAGTCGCCCTGTTTCGATAGATGTGTTGAACATTGTTGTTAGTGGTACACAGAGCGCCTCTGCTCCCTCTCAGGACTCATGGAGAGATATTTTGTGTGTGTTTGTTTGTTTGTATGTGTGTGTGTGTGTGTGTGTGTGTGTGTGTGTGTGTGTGTGTGTGTGTGTGTGTGTGTGTGTGTGTGTGTGACTGATAGTACAAGTGTAATGAACACGTGTCGATACTAAGGAATAGTCCATATGGAGACACTAGCCAGGAGTTATGAATCGACCCCTGTAACCACAATTAGGTGAGTACATAAGAGAGAGTAACCAAAAATCACCTTCTTGCCGTAAGTGCCACCACAGAAGTGCGAGCCATGGGAAGACCAAACCCAGAAATCCCATTCTCCCTTCCTGAGATCAGTCATCTCCAGTAGAGGGCCCTTTTCATAAAAAATCAATAAATGGTTGAGTGGACTCCATGGAGAAAACAAGAGAAATCAACCTGCGAAGGTTGATTTCTCTTGTTGTTTCCTTGTTCAATGAAGTACTTTCGATGATGTTTATAATTTCTTCGGAACCAAATTACTTCCACTTCAAAATGAATTCCCACTTTCCATTCAGAAAAATCTTAGCACTCATAAACTTATGTGTGACTTCTAATGTTTTTCTCTTTCAATAATAAATTCTTCAAGCAGAAATTCGGTTGTAGTATAGGATGTCCACACCTGTTCTCTCTAATTTATGTTTGGAATATCATCAAACATCCTCCCCAACATCTAATCACTAAACATAATCTGGTACAAATGTGTACAAATATGTGGCGAAAACTTGGGCAGTTTTAACTTATTCTTTGAGAAACCTAAAGAATTTGTTCCTTCTATATTGTTCAATATTTAATTGGAAACACTATACCATTCCTTGATGTGTTCCTCACCGGAGAAAAAACTATCAGGTCGACTTTTCAGTGTAGATAAAACCCGCTCACTGTTATGTCTATATCTGTTAAGTAAAAAGACACAAATGCAACAAATGTAACATTTTACTGTGGCAACGTTTTGCTCTTCAGGAGCTTTATCAAGCCGATAATGGCAGAAACGTTGTCACTATAAAATATCACATTAGTTGCACTTGTGCTCTTTTACTTAATATATTGTCGGTAATTCTAGCAACTTTAATACAACAAGTCTATTTCTACAGTTACCAGTCAGTGTAAATTCAAACCGGCACTGTCTCAAACTTATTCTTACGTGATATATAGGATATATATATCCTATATATCACGTACAGGATATATAGCCAATTAAAGTTAAACCACGAAAAAAAATCCTCATTACACGATTCTCAAAACTATGATACCCAGAACGGTTTATTAAACTAAATGAAAGGAAAAC